CGGGAAGAGGTTTATATGATGATGATATGTAGGATATACAACGGTTCACCCTAGTCTTGAACGAGTAAAGATTTTATTTGTTACGGAAGCATCTTTTACGGCTGAGTGTCGTTATTTTTTTATGATTATATACTGTCTATATGATCATCATAATCATCTTCATCATCATAAGTCCCATGACCTGTTCTGGAGGTAGGGTCACTGCGCAGCTTAACAACTGCTCAGTTCCTTCCCCTGATTTGAAGTGAAAAAAAAACACGATCGATGTCCTCAAACTTGAAGGCTCGCTTCCGGCACGGGCACTCGACTGTTGATTTCATCGTGCGGGGGGAAGACTATCCGATCTGGTCGTTGTGTTGTATCCCACCTTCTTTTGCATGTATACACACAGGGTGCGATGGGTAAATTGTCTCAATATTATATTTTTAATTTTGCGTAAACACATTATTTGTTTTTGATTTTGTCGATTGCAGTGTATCGTAGTATAAGTTGGGCACTGTCTGTGAGAAAAGGAGCACCATGGCGTAATTCACTCCGGCAGAAATTTGAGAAACGACATGCTGTACTGCTTGGCATTCGCACCCGGTGCTCCAATACGAACATTTCAGGGTGTTTGGGTGTCAATCTGAGGACAGAGCAAAGGATTCGAAAAGTGTTAAATGATATATTCAGTCAACATCATGGTGTTTAGAGTGATTACTAATGATGGCGTCGTTATGCCTCCATTCATCTTCCCACATGGCCTCAGTCTCAACCCTTTTTCACAATTCGTAATTCTATGCAGTTATCAATGACGAAAGCGCACTTTAAAAGTTTTCATTTTTAAATAAAAACTACGTACAGATAACTCTTTATGAAATCAGGGGTCGATACTTATATTACGAACAGGACCACCCTTCTAAAAATGATAAAAAAAAAGAATTAGATCTTTCGATTCTGACAAAAGCCGTGGTAGAAATTCTAATGAAAAGTAAAAGGACACTTCTAGTTAGAATCAGAAAGCGATCGTTGAAATTTCGAAGACATATGATGAAGAAAGGCATCTTAGAAAATTTGACACTCACAGGACATATTAAAGGTAAAACGGACAAAAGAAATCAGTAAAGAAACTACCAAAGAAGTTTATGTAAATAGTTCACAGAACAGACAAAGAAGCAGAAGAGATACCGAAAGCTCAAAAGGACAAAAAAAATATATATATATATATATATATATATATATATATATATATATATATATATATATCCTATCAAACATCCTGGTGTTTGAGTGATCACTAGTGATGGTGAGGTTATGCCTCCATACATCTTCCCACAGGGCCTTAGACTCAACACTGAGGCCTACATCAAGTGCTTTGAGGAGGTAGGGCTGCCCTGGGTCAAGATGGCAGCTGCAGGAAAACCCAATGTGTTGCAAAAGGATTCTGCACCATGCCACACAAACAGGAGAACCAATCATAGCTGTCAAACAATTTCTGCAACCACATTACCTATTACATCTGGTGACCTAGCTCCCCAGACTGCAATCCCCTTGATTATTATGAGTGAGGTGCAGTTGAGCGAGAGACCAACAAAACTCCATGTAACACCAAAGAACTGAAGGTAAGGATTATGGCAGCATTCATCAAGTTTTTGTGGATATTTTTGTGTAAATTTGTTAAATATATCTGTTAAAATGAGACGAAATTATTATCTTGATTTTGCGTAATTAGACGACACTTTATAGATAGATAGATAGATAGATAGATAGATAGATAGATAGATAGATAGATAATGAACAGAAAGTAATAGATAGATAGATAGATAGATAGATAGATAGATAGATAGATAGATAGATAGATAGATAGATCATTGTTTTAAAGATCAGAAGAGATAGATAGATAGATAGATAGATAGATAGATAGATAGATCACTGTTTTAAAGATCAGAAGTGATAGACAGATAAATAGATAATGAACAGAATGTGATAGATAGATAGATAGATAGATAGATAGATAATGAACAGAATGGGATAGATAGATAGATAGATAGATAGATAGATAGATAGATAGATAGATAGATAGATAGATCACTGTTTTAAAGATCAGAAGAGATAGACAGATAGATAATTAACAGAATGTGATAGATAGATAGATAGATAGATAGATAGATAGATAGATAGATAGATAGATAGATAGATAGATCATTGTTTTAAAGATCAGAAGAGATAGATAGATAGATAGATAGATAGATAGATAGATAGATAGATAGATAGATAGATAGATCAGCGTTTTACAGAAAATCAGAAGGGAACGTGTTTTTAGATGGCTATACAAATGTAACCGCATTAAAATCAGAGAAAATATTTGCAATTATTTAAGTCATTATTTGTACAGAACCTAAATGTTAGTTAAATAGAATAATATCTAAAGATAAAAGTCCTTTCACCTCTCTTTGAAGTCAGCTACTTCTTCCGTTTAATTCAAGATAAACTCATCTTTGTCAGAAATGTTATCTTCATTCATCATTTTATACATCTTTTTATGTAAGCCATGATCATGTAGACATTTCTTCTTCATTATGTGCTGTGTCCGTTCATGGCGTAGGCGATCATGGTTCTCCACAATTTCCTGTTCTTTGTAGCTCTTAAAAATTTTTGCCTTTTTGTTATTTCTCCTAGACCTTGACCTTTCATTTATTTACTCAAGCTCACTAAGTATTTTATGCAATGTTTTCCTCTATCACTCTTGCTTTCGATATCTCCTTGTGAGTATCAGATTTTCCGAGCCCTCTTTCCACATTATGTGCCCTAGGAATTTCAACTGTCTCTTCCTTAATGTTAAGTTTTTCTTTCGTTTCCATTTTCTTTAAATCTTCGTCGTTGCTCACATATTCGGTCCATGGTATTCGCTTCGTCCTTTTCAAGAACCACATTTCCGTTACTTCAAGTCTATACTTCATCTTTGAGGAGAATGGCCAGCATTCACTGCCGTATAGGAAGACATATATCGCGTAACAGTCTAGCAGTCTTTTCTTTGTTTCTGACGATCTTTTTTCTGTTACTTAATCCTTTGATGACCTTTGGAAGGCAACTTTCGCTATCCAGATACGACTTCGAATTCCAGTGTCGCACTTTCCGTCTTCTGTTAAAACACTTCCAAGATATTTAAATTTAAAACTTTGATTTATGTATCTGTCTATATTTCTGAGATGAGGTATTATGTACACCATTTACATTGTTCGGACTATCATCCTAATCTTTGTTGCCATATCTATCACAACGTCCGTCGAACAGAACCCCTTATTTCGCTTGCTGGGGTAGACTGTTCTACTTCCACGGGACATATATAAGAGACTAGCAGTAGAGCCCGGCGTTGCCCGAGGATGTAATAGTAAGAGATAGATCAAGTATCGACTATTATAAAGACTGAAAAATAAAATTGACAAAGATTATTGTTTAAGGTTGACAGACACACATGTATTAATTAGTTTTTTTGTTTGTTTTTTTTTTGTTTTTTGTTTTTTGTTTTTTTACGAATTGGTCAGACCCAAACTCAAACAAAAACATTGTTTTCAATCATTATGAGTCTATCGATTGAATAGAATTTTATTCTAAACTATTGTCTTGTAAATGGAATTTTTAAAGCATTCTGAATGTAAAAATAAAGAAAGTGTGCAAGGCAATAAGAAACACTACCTGCCAAAAAAAAAAAGTGAAGTTTTGTTGAAATCGGTTGAAAAATGTAGGAAATCCGATCCCATATATAAACGAACACACACACACAAACAACCTGGGTTTTATAATAAGTATAACTCGATATGAGTTGTCCCCCTTTCATTCTGGCGACAGCATTGTGTTTTATCGTGTTTTCAAATTGATTTCGTGCAAAAACAATTGTGCTTTTCCAATTTTTGGTGCTGTCAGAACCCCCGCTAGGTAATTTTATGCAGTCCTGTGACGTTTTGTTGAAATCGGTTGAAAAATGCAAGAAATCCAATCCAATATATAAACGTACAGACACACAATCTGCGTTTCATAATAAGTAAGATGTTGGTTATCTCCTGTTAATTCCGCACTCTAAGTTCTCTACCGCCTTAACCAGGTATTGAACTCACACTCTTTGGGTCCTATCACTGGATCTGTGCCATGTGTCCTTGAGGACATCTGTGTATGAATTTCTGGGAATTATAAACCTAATGTCTTCAGCATCAGTTTTTACCAGTGCTCATATTGCAATTTTTGCTGTTATCCTTCATTTTTTGGCCAGAGCTCATATTGCAATTTTCGTTGTTGTTATTGTTTTTCTCTGGCACTTCTTATTATTGGTTCCCATATTGTATTCATTTCTATGCTTAGTCGGCTCAAGAGATTATTGTGGCCTAGCATATGTGCTGATTCCTTAACTTTGATTTCTGTCTCTACAGTTTTTAAATTGAATATTGGGCTCGTCCTTTTGCTAAGAATTTTGTATTCTGTTTTCTTGCAGTCGATGTTTTTCTTACCTGAAAACATAACGAAAGAGCTACCTCAGTTCAAATATATGGCCACTGAGAAAAAAGTTGGCCAGCTGCCATACTTTCCAATGATTATTGTTGTTTTCATAAAGAAGAGTATCTTTTTTTTTAAAACCGAACCATCTGCTAGGAAACCATGGTGTTTTTCTTTTTCATTACCTTTCTTTTTGTCTTTCCTCTACGTTGAAGGTAGATAAATGAATGTAAAACTATTTCAAGTCTCCTACAAAATCCAATGAAATTACCTGTGAGCGGGGCCTAACTGCGTACAAAACTGCGTGACATAAATAAACAATGGATCGAATGTTTGCTTAAGTGGGGACTTATAGAGGAATCGTCTCGTTCAGCAAAAAGAACAAGCTTGCATTATGGAAATTACTTTTGCAAATGATTCTGGAGTGCTCTTTCGTATACGGCGGAGTATGTCGCCGAAGTGTTGATATATTTTTCATAGTGAAATATCTCAGAAATAATTATAGCGTTTGCTAGTAATCTTCTATGAAGTGCTTATAAAGAAAGGTCTGCAAAAAAAATGAACAGGTTAGAAGAGTAGTGAGAGAGAAAACGCCTCGGAGAAGGAAGGAAGGAAGGAAGGAAGGAAGGAAGGAAGGAAGGAAGGAAAATATACAGAAAAGATAATAAAGACAATAAAAATGGACAGAAGAATGAAAGCTGACAGAGAAAGAAAATAGATAAAGAAAGGAAGAAAATGGAAAGATAATTAACATAAGCATAAAAGATTGCAAGGTAAATGGAGAAAGATAGAAAGTGTGATTGGCAGAGGAAAAAGAAAAGGAAAGATAGCGAGGTAAACAGTCGACGAAACAATGAAAGAAGAAAGAAAAAGATAATGAAGAAAGAAAGAAAGAAAGAAAGAAAGAAAGGGCAGACGAAAAAGAAAATCAAAGATAGCGAGGTAAACAGACGACGAAAAAAAGAAAGATTGGCAGGCAAAAACGAAAAGGAAAGATAACAAGGTAAATGGACGATGAAAGAAAGAAAACGTGGATAGAAAACGAAGAAAGAAAAAGATGAAAAAAAGGAAAGAAAGAAAGAAAGAACGATAGAAAAGAAAGAAAGAATGGATGACAGAAGGTGTGATTGGCAGAAGAAAATAAAAAGAAATATAGCACGCTATACAGACAACTAAACAAAGGAAGAAAGCGTGATTGACAGACAAAAAAGAAAGTGAGGTAAACAGACGACTAAACAAAGAAAAAAGAAAGATAATACCATAAGCAGATAAAAAGAGAAAGAATTATAACAAGGTAAATGGACAAAGAAAGAAAGAAAGAAAGAAAGAAAGAAAGAAAGAAAGAAAAGACGAAGAAAAAGATAATGAGGTAAGCAGACAAAGGAAGAAAGAAAAGTGTGATCTGCAGACGAATAAGAAAAAGAAAGACAGCGAGGTAAACAAACGACGAAAAAAATAAGAAAGAAAGAAAGAAAGAAAGAAAGAAAGAAAGAAAGAAAATGTTAGAAGACGAAGTAAGAAAAAGATAATGAGGTAAACGGACAAAGAAAGAAAGAAAGAAAGAAAGAAAAATGAAAACATGGAAGGATGGTTAAATAGGATGGAAAAGAAAGAAAGAAAAATAAAAAAGATGGAAGGTTGAAAGAAATGGGATGGAAAATAAAGAAAAACATGAAAGAAATGAAAGAAAATAAAGAAAGAAAGAAAGAAAGAAAAAAAGAAAAAGAAAGAAAAAAAACATGGAAGGTTGATTAAATGGGATGGAAAATAAAAGAAATAAAGAAAGAAAGAAAGAAAGAAAGAAAAGAAAGAAAGAAAAGAAAATAAAAAAAAAGGAAGGTTGATTAAATGGGATGGAAAAGAAAAATATGAAAGAAAAATGAAAGAAAGAAAAAAGAAAAAAACGAAAGAAAGAAAAAAAAAGAAAAAAAAAAAAGAAAACATGGAAGGATGGTTAAATAGGATGGAAAAGAAAGAAAGAAAGAAAACATGGAAGGTTGATTAAATGGGATGGAAAAGAAAGAAAGAAAGAAAGAAAGAAAGAAAGAAAGAAAGAAAAAAAGAAAGAAAGAAAAACATGGAAGGTTGATTAAATGGGATGGAAAATAAAGAAAGAAAGAAAGAAAGAAAGAAAGAAAGAAAGAAAGAAAGAAAGAAAGAACGCAAAGTGAAGAGAGGAAGAAAGGAAGAAAAAGAAAGATAAGGTAAAAAGATAAAGAAAGAATGATAACAAGTCACATAGACAAAGAAAGAAAGAAACTGTGATTGGCTGACGAAGGATCGTTTGGTTGTCTTAATATTATTCTGTATCTTTATGTTTGCAAGTAAAAGATAATGAGGTAAAGAAACGAAAAACGAAAAAAAAAAAAGAAACAAACAAACAAAGTGTGTTTACCAAACGAATAAAGAAAAGACAACGATGTAAACAGACGCCGAAAGAAAGAAAGAATAGAATAGAAATGAAAAAAAAAATGAAGACATGTAAAAGGAAGGCGAAAATGGGAGTGATTACTACAGAAGAAATAAAGAAGAGAAAAGGAGGAACAAATTTAAGGTAGAAAAAGAGAAGCCTGGATTTTCAGAAAACCAAACAAAGAAAACAGAAAAATCGACTGAAAGCAAAGATGTGAAGAAAAAAAAAGAGAAAAAGAACGATAAAAAATCAGAGAAGCTCAGAAATAAAGTCAACAGTCGTAAAAAAAAATTCAAAAAAGAAAAAGAAACAAGAAAATCCTCACACGAAAAAAAAAAAAAGGAAAAAGAAACGAACAGAATAAATGTATCATCGAAACGGCGGTAGAATAAGAAAAAAACTAAAAAAAAAAACGGAAAGAAAATAACAAACGAGAAAGGTAAATATTTAGCAGCGGGGAAAATATAAAAAGAAAAATTAATTATCACGAAAGCGAGAGATGAGAGAAAGCAAGGAATATAGAAAAGGCGGCAATTTAAATAAAACGAAACGAATAAAGCAAATGCTAAAACTTAAAATATTTAGTACAAAGATAAAATATAACGATAGATGAACGAGGTAATCAGAGGCATAAAAAGGATAATGGCAATATTAGCCGTTTCCTTAAAAGGAAACAGCTTTCCTGACTGAGTAGCCATTGGCTACTTGAGTTACGCCTTTCATTCCCTGACTATCGGTATAGGATCAAAGTGTAGTATGTGTCCTCCTCATCGCTAATGTTTATGGTATTAGCCGTTTCCTGATAAAGAAACACTCAGCATTAGTTGGCCAAGCAGCTGGTACTACCGTCGGTTGAAATTGGTAAAAAAAAATTTTCAGGGACATAGATTTCTCAGGTCAACCGTTATTGCTCTTTTCAGTATTAATGGGGGTTTCTTTCTTAACCTTTTGTTTGAAGTAGTGTGGAACAGCAACATCTTGATGATATCATTATATTCACTTTGAGTTACATGTGAAAGTACTCAAAATGATGTGATTTATTTTATTTGGTACAGCTTTGTGATTCTGTAGCGCCAGTACACAGGTTTCGAAGAATGGTTCTCTCTAAGACCTACGGGCTTCATTCTCTTGAAGCCATTTTTAACCATTGATTTTAGAAAGCGGTTGTATACAGCGGACTGTTTAGATATTTCGGAACAGGTTTGTCACCATGTATGACATCCATATAAAGATATCGATCTGATGAGGCTATGTAAGAATAGAACAATGGTTTTCAGGTTTATGGTTTTTCGAGCAATTTTACAATCTATATATATAAGACAGAGGATGTCGGTGTGTCTGTCTGTCTGTCTGCCTGTTTGTCTGTGTGATACCTTTTCACTCGACATCCATCCAACCGATTTTGACCAAACTTGGCATATACATTCTAAAATGTAAGAGATAAAGCCGATCAAAAATCGATAAATTCAACTTTTTTTCCTCCGATTACGTTAAAACTCGTTATATAGGTTACTTATATCATGACGAGCTCAGCGATACCTCATTTTTATTTCTACGCCACTGCGTTTAGCGAAAAACCACAAAAAAGAAAAATCGATTTCAACACAAATCGATCTCAACACATATTTTAAACTAAAACTCCCTCAATTTTCAATCATTCTAATACAAACTTCACTCAATTATAACCAACAATAAGTTGATTGTTTAACAGTCATTTAACTTGATAATTGAGTCCACCTATATAGTGAAAACCGCGTAAATAGTGAAAAATGACGATTTTTACTGGTTTCTTTTTTATTTTTCGTTGATCTTTCAACCAATTGTCATCAAACTTAACAATTGCCTTATAAATGTATTCTCGTTTACATCCCTGGTAGCACACTGACAAATTGAATTTCAAAAACTCCAAAATAATTGTAGACTACTTCTGTCCACAATTATTTTGGAGTTTTTGAAATTCAGTTTGTCAATTTGCTACCAGGGATGTAAAAGTGGGTCGTCATGTCACCTTTTTTGCCCTTTCCTGTCCTTGGCTAACTTCGATTGAATAAATACAGACTTGTTTTGTTATATAAGTAACTGTATTAATTGTAAATGTTTTTTAATGAAAGTACTTTAAAGTAATTGAGGATAGATACTATTACATCTAAACAGGATACTGTGTTTGCTCCATTCTAATTGAACGCTTTTTCTGATCGACCAACTGGGTATGGCTGCTCGTATATAATATTTTAGCCTGTGTAATTCTTACTTAAATGTAATTTACAGGACTAAAATAGACCAGACTATTCAGAAAAATTATGCAAGTGTGAAATATAATGAAGTTAATTTGATAACAAAGAAAATAAAACAGATGAGCATGACTCAAGAAAAGCAATTCTAAGGACAACTTTAATGTTTTTATCGTGCCAAAATAATTGTGGACTGAAGTGGGTCTTCATGTTACCTGTTTTACCCTCTCATGTCCTCGGCTAACTTGTTCTGTTATATCAGTAACTGCATTAATTGAAAATATTTTTTTAATGAAAGTACTTTAAAGTAATTGAAGAAGATAGACACTGTTACATCTAAACATGATAATGTTTTTGCTCCATTCTAATTGAACGCTTTTTCTGATCGACAAGCTGGGTATGGCTGATAGTTTAAATGAAAAGCATACTGTTGGTTTCAACACGAACAAAATAAAATAGATTTCAAGAAATTCTCATCAAGTTTAAAAAGCATTATATAATTTAAATCTCCTGAAAAATGATTTTTTTGTTGTTGTTGTTGTTTGTTTTTAATCATTTCACAGCGGGACTGCTACTAGTATGCATGGTGTGTGTATGGAGGGGGCTTACAGGGAGTGTAAGTGAAGGATAAAATGAAGAAAAGGAGGACTGATGAAGGATAGAACGGAATTCAAGAAGACAGAAAATTGGTGAATGATGCTGCAGTTAAATTTCTGAAGATTGTAGTTATCAGGGCGGTAAGGAAAGGGAAGTGAGTTCCACAGGTGGAAAAGAAACTGTTGGAGCAAAAAGTGACGGTTATATTTAACTATTTCAACAGTAAAAGGGTGGGACCTAGATGCCAATCTAGTAACACGCTTAAAGTTGTGTAATCATGGCACCAGGGGAAAAGCTCGTCAAAGCTGTTTCAATTAAAATATTTTTAGAAAAGACAGTGGGAAGCCACATCACGTCGGTGAGAAAGTGATTGATGTCAATATGTCTGGTGTTTTAATTTTAAAGTTTTATAATTATCAACGGACAGCATTCCCTGTTCCGTTAATGCTGAATGTTTCCTGTATGGAAACGGTTAATTTTATCATTACCATTTATCATTTGTTTACTTATACAAGTGAATTCAATGTTTCTGCTTTGAAAATGGTAACCATTTCAGGGTTTCAATCTCAGCTTTGGACTAAGTAAGCAATACATCAAAGGAAGTAAGCAACGTGAACACTTTAAATAATATATTTTGAAAATGTAACAAATGTTGGGTTTGTAAAATTCGTCTGCTTCTATATCTAGAGATTGGTCACATGATGTTAGGCTGTCCCTCATTGGTTAATTAGAGAAAAGCTGACCACCACCAGAGAAGGGACAGGACCTGCCCCGAAGTAACACACAAGAAATTCTCTCCGCCGTCGACGGCACCAGTTGCCGACTTATTCTTTTTTTGAGTAGGTTCACGTCAACTTAATCATCTCTCAGTTGCGTCTCTGTCTTTCGGCAGAATGCGCTTAGGGGATTCTCTGTTAAAGGACAGATGTTAAATAGAGAAAATTATATTGAAGAGGTGCCCAGCCCTGGGGAACAACAGCCCGAGGCCGCGGCCTCCCATTGCACCAGAGGGACGGATTGGTACTAGCACCGAGGCCACCAGCGGTTGCGGAGGCTGAGGGGAATTTTTGTTCCTGTCCCGGGCATACGCGCTCGAGTCCTCACCTAAAAATAGACCTTGTGTCACATCTCGCCCTAGTAGGGGACAGAGTGAATACCGAGGGTTTTAAAGATACAAGCTATCTAGCCCTATTTCACTCCCCCAGATTTGTAAGTCTGCCTGACATATACATATAGGAAATGACATTGTGTTTATGTTAACCATTGTATTCATGTTCAGGTGTAAATAAATGTCTCTTTATTACATATTGATAAAATATTCTTCTTATTTGTCTCAATCCTAAAGTAAAGTGGGGCTAGCACAATAAATTGCTGACCGCGCTTTAGATTTTTACGATTTTATTCAAGAAATGTTTGCATCTTTACGGTTAAAATAGTGAAAAATATTTTTTTTTTTACTTCTGTCCTTGTGTCATAAATAATTTTCGTCTTGGCTTATCAGGTGTATTCTTCGAAAAAATACAGTTCACTAGCATCTTATTTAATTATATATTCTCCGTCTGAATTTCTGCAATATGGAGTCATAATCTTTGTTGATGTTAATACAACAAATGCCTACAAAACAATGGCCCAGTGGATTAAAACGTTGGTTCGTGAATTTGTTGATATAGTGGTTGTGAGCTCAATCCCTGGTTCGGGCAGTGTATATTTGAAATCAGTGGAAACAGGCGAACAATAACCAGGCAAAAGTATGAACTAGACGAGATATCCCTAGACATGGGCAGTTGAACGAGAACTGTCTACTTCCAAAAATTAAATAAAGTGTTCGGTATCGAATTCGCCTCTAGGTTACCCGGATCAATATACACCTGACGAATAAACAAAACGACCGAAAACAGTGTGGTAAAAACAACAAAGATGAGGACAATAGTCCGAATATAAATAGTGTGAATTCGATATTCTCCAATATTTGAAACGCGTTTTTTGCTTTTTTGCCACTTCTCCGGCAGCTATTCAATAACTTTTGAGCAAAGTTCCGCAGATTTTGGCATGAAAAGGTTTTAATTAGATAAAAGGTTTTAATTCGATAAGCGTTTTGCAGCAACCAAAAAATGTAATAAATTCAGTGGTTCAAAGTCAGAAAAATATGGCGGGTGGGGTAGAGCAGACCAATTTCGTACCAATTGTTTTTGTCTGTGTATTGTTCTTGCTGTATACGGTCTTAAATACGTTAATATGCCGTCTATGAAATGCAATATCTTTAACACCATTTTACAGCCAACGCTTAAACAAATAAATGGCTACACAGAACACTGGAAATAGGGTTGGCTTGCCTAACGCCGAGTATCATTATCGGCTCATATTGGGGAAAATAATAAAATGAATAAAACCTGCAAAGTCCATCTTTTTGTAACAAATCAAATTTTTCCAACCTGTGCATTCCTTTGAAAGCAGTATATGTTATCTTTTTTTTTTTTCTCCAATAAAACATTATACAAACAAGCAAATATTTATCCTTGGGATGGAGAGAATTTCGACGTGGTTTGATAGTCTCGTTAGATCATTGGTTCCCAACCGATTTTGGGCCATGCTTCACTTTGGTATTTCCAAAATTCTGGTGCCCCCCTCCACCACTGTAATATTTGATTCTTATATATTCAAAATTTTACTGCAATTCACGTGAACGAAACTTAAAAGGCCATTAACTTGGTCTGAAAACAAGCCTCCAAAGATCATAGCTTCTATGAAAGAGAAAAATTTAAAATAAAAAAAAGACAGTTAAATATAGTTTCAAAACATATAATAGAAAACTGAAAGCTAGAAATATAAAATATTTGAATGAAAGTTTATTCTTTAAATTACTTTGATCATTTTAATCGTGAAATAAAAATGTAAAATGAAATTTGAGCTCACTAGAAAACAATACACTGTTAATAACTGATTCTCAAATTGCCGCCTTATTCATTTGGTATAGTAAGACAAAAGGTGCACATCCTACGCATGCGCCACCAAAATATTACCATATTCCCACTGGTGGGGGATGCGACACACGTTGGGAATCATTGCGTTAGATCAATTATGCTAAGGATACCATGGATCAAACATGTGAGCAACGACGATGTTTTGGAGAGAATGGAAACAAAAAGGAAACATAGTAACATCAGGAAATGATGGGAAATTTCTGGGAAACGTAATGAGAAAGGCGGGTTTGGATAATCTGACACTCACTAGAGAAATTAATGGAACGAGGGACAGAGGAAAGCAGCGCGTGACATACTTGATGGGCTTGAGCAAATGGATGGTAGAACAGGGTTTAGGAGAAATAACAAAACGACAAAACCTATTAAGAGCTACAAGAAACAGGAAGATGTGGAGAGCCATGATCGCTAACCGCATGAAGTGACAAGGCACATGAAAGAAGTTGAGTGATGTCAATGATCAATGGCTGCTCCCTACTATCAACCTTGAGCCAGATATAACTTATGTTTAGAAAATCGCTTCATGTTTGGAGTTTGGAGTATTTCAACGAAACCTAGCAAGCTTGTCTCGCTAGATCAATTACAACTTAGTAGTGAGTTCGATCTTCACTGAGTGCTCCACACTTTTGGCCTTGTGCCACATCTAAGCTATCCTTAATAAATCACTATTACATGCGTGTGGGGAAACTTCCCCGTGGTCTAATGGTTAGCAAGATTGTCACGTTAGATGTATTACGATTGAGTAATGAATTTGATCCTCATTCGGTGCTAACCTACGTTCGGTCTTGTGCCACATGTCAGCTACGCTTAGTAAATCACGTGAGAGCTTCGACATAGTGTAATGATTAGCAAGCCTTGATAATTTGCTAAATCATTTAATGATGTAGATCTTCATTCGGTGCTTCCTAATTTCGGCCTTGTTCCATATCTAAGTAAAACGCTTTATATTTGGAGAGGTACTTCGACGTGGAGTAACGGTTAGCAAACTTGTTTCACTAGACTGAGTCGTGAGTTCGATTCTCACTGGGTGTTCCCTAGTTTCGGCTTTGTACCACTGCTATGTTTAATAATTGACAACATTTATGTTTGTGCAGAAATCTCCTGTAAATCTTGTGAAAAAACATACGTACGACGAAAACTACTGTCTGGTTTGAACAAGACACGTGTAAACGTTGTTTTGCGCTTTGTAAATACTTATATTCTTGTTCGGAGCATGAGGTCTTTTGGAATCTCTTCCCATTTTCATGATGGTGTCAATCTTACTTCCGGCTTTGTTACTATTTGAGTGTATCAGACGTCTACTTAACAATTCTACACATCCGCTTCTGGTTAAAAGAGTCGGTCGAAATTGACGTCGATACTTCTGTCCAGCTTCGAATGCAGCATTTGCCACATTACGTGTTCGACCTAAAATATGACGAACAATTATGGCGGTTTTCTAAACATAGCTTAGATGTGGCACAAAACCGAAATTGTGGTGCTCCCAGTGAGGATTTAACTCGCTATTCGGTCGTAATTGATCTAGCGAGCAATGTTTGATAACGATTACAACACATCGAAGTGGCCACAAACATTAATGTTATGATGATTTTCCAAACGTGGTTTAAATTTTGAACAAGGCCGGAATTGTGAGACACCCAGTGAGGATCGAACTCCCTTTTCATTGATCTAGCGAGACAAGCTTGTAGCGATTACACCATGTCGAAATGTCTACAAACAATAAAGTTATGAGCTGTAAAAAAAAAAAGTTGCATTTGTTTATCTAGCGTAGGAGTGAGGGAGACATCATTTTACAGATAAATTCTCCACGTTTTTTTTTGGAGGGGGTGGTTGTTGAGATACAGACTCTTCCGTCTGGCGAATTTATTTTCACTCTATTAGCTAAATTTGAAAAGTAAGACATCAGTTTATTTTGTTGAGTACGGTGGAGTAATGGATAGCGGCTTGGATTGAGGAATCGGCGAGCCGAGTTCGAATTCCAGTCGAATCCATTATATTCACTTACGTGCTAACACACTTGGGAAAGGTATGAATCCTCTCTCTTCTCCCTCCAGCTATGGGTAAATAGCAGGATAGACTGGGTTCTATAGCCTTGGATGGCAACTGGTCTAGGAGAAGGAAAGCTCTGATTTCAAACCTGCTCTTAGAGGAGGGTGAATGGAGTCTCTCTGAGCCTTGGTTGGCAATCCATTTAGTGATGGTGCCACGATAAAAACACCCTTGATAGCCCTAGCGAAGCATCAAGAATTCAGCTATTTGACAAGATTATGAACTACACCAATCAAAGTATTGCCGAGTTCAATCTCGGCTGAGGCCGCAAGACTTACAAGACAATATTTTCTTGATAATCGTCATAATATACTTACGTCCTGGGTAAAACGATAAACTGCATCCAACAGCAAGGAGTTAAGGAGGTTTTGAGAAGCGTGGAAATACCTCTTAAATGCTGGTGTTCCCAGGTCCACCCTGACCCGGGGTGGTAGCACCTGTTAAGGTTCCTGCAATAGCCAAATAGTTACCGCCACGCCAACAAGAGTGGACAAAACACTATGAATGTGTAAAAATAGATTTTAATGCCGGCAATACTTTGTAAAAACTTATTACCAGAAATAAATTTTTGAAAAAAATTATCAGCAATACATTTTTGAAATAAAAAAATATTACCAGCAATACATTTCTGAAAAAATATTGCCAGCAATACATTTCTGAAAAAATAATATTACCAGCAATACATTTTTGAAAGAAAAAAAATATTACCAAGAATATATTTTTGAAGGGAAAATATTACCAGAAATAGACTTTGGAAATATTACCAGCAATAAAAATTTTGTCAGCATTAAATAACCCATTGAGGTTGATATTCCGTAAATCAAAACAAAACAAACCAAACCACAATATACTTGCCCTAATTTGGGCACCTCCATCTGGTGTAATGGTTAACAAGCTTGTCTCGCTAAAAAAACCGTTACGACTGAATCCTCACTGGATGCCCCATACTTTCCTAATTTGGGCACCTCGAGTTGGTGTAATGGTAGCAAGCTTGTCTCGCTAGAACAATTACGACTGCGTAGTGAGTTCGATCCTTACTGGGTGTCCCATACTTTCGGCCTTGTACCACATTTAAGGCACGCTTGGAAAATAGCTACTTGTCATAATGATACTCGTCATAAGATTCCTACTTATATTACAAATAAAAATACTAGTTAGTAGTACCTGTGAATATTTCACGGTTTTGCTATTTGACTATTCTGATGAATCATAATGCAATACTGCTTGGCCTAATGCATAAAGAAATCTGATTTAATCGTAAAAATATTTTTTTTTAAATTCTGGCTAATTTTTGTTAATTCGTATTTTATAGACCTTCTCCTACTCAATACATTTTTAAGAACCGAAAAATAAAAAAATAAATTATTTTTTATTATTTACGAAGGGAATATTTTCTCCGAGAAATGTCTCCTATTAGTTTTAAATAAAGACGCGCTCAACATGAAAACAACAGGCATAAATGTAGCCCAAACCGACTTCAGAAACGAAAGAACATACCAAAAGAAAATGAAAAAGTAATATAGGGCTCGAAATCTAACGATACAATATTCAACCAAGCATAGCTCCCAGGTTTCAGAAAGGTAAGATGAAAGGGAATAGATTTATTTAGACTCTGAATATGCTATACACATCTGACATACTCACATCCACTAATAGATAAAATATCATGCAACAGATGTAATGTACTTCTCACAGTTGGATTCATAAGTTGGCATCACCTCAGTAAAACCTGAACAAAATATTATCTCGGGAACAATACAAAAGAACTCTTTCAAAAGACTAAACCAAACAATATCCTTAAATTCTTAAAGGAAATCAAACTTTATACCAATACAGTTTAACCCGGATATAAGAGAGTTGTCGGGACCGGAGAAGTATCTTATATCCGGGTTTCTCTTATATCTTATTTGGTCTATTTTGTTTAGGTATGTATGAGAACACTTTGGGACCAGATAAAATCTATCTTATATCCGGGTTTCTCTTATATCCGGATCTCTTATATCCGGGTTACACTGTATATAAAGCGGAAAAAAAATACAAAATCCTTTTTTGAAAATTGAAAAAAAAAACAGAAAAAAAACTTTTAGGCTTAATAAAGATCCGATGCAAAATTTAACAACTATCTTATATCAGAAACTAAATACAAAATAACTTGTATAAGAAAGCAGCATCTTTAATAACTGCTAAATAAGAAAAAATACTTTCACCAACTAACCCGTGCAGAAAACTATCACTGATCAACGTATAGCATCAAGCATGATTCAAAACCTTTATCTGATTTTAATTAACCCTACAGTGGCTGAAGGGCCATTACGTAGAAACCAAACCTAACCAATGTTAGGTTGATATACTCAATAGGCTGTGAAGGTGATTGTGCTACGCCAGTGTGGTGGGAATCTGCTTGTCTAGAAAAACAAAATTCAATGTTAAACAAATTATTAAGAAACATAAATATTTCATTACAAAGAAAATAGTACTGAACTGCTATGTAACATCAATTCTTCTATATATCACTAAATGCTGGACAGAGATGAATACAAGACTTGAGGCAACAACAATGTAGTTCTACAGACGGATTCTGAGAATACTATGAACGGAGCATGTGAGTAAGGAGGAAGGTTTGAGGAAACTGGAATCAAAGAGGGCTCTTATACTTAAAATCAGAAAGCGACAGCTGAAATTTGGTGGGGCACACAAGAGAGATTGGAGAATTTGACACTCACAAGATATATTGAAGCAGGGGCGATAGAGGATAGCAGCTAGTAATCTACCGGTCGTATATGGGTGGATGAGCAGGATAATAAGGAACGAGGCTTGGAGAATTTGACACTCACAAGACATAAGAAAGGAAGAATCACAAAGGGAAACAGAGCGTAATCTGCCTAACCCGCAACCTTTGTGAATAAACCTTTGTGGATGGATGGCAGAACAGCGACTGCGAGGGATAGTAAGGAGAAAAGCATTGTTTAGAGCTAAAAAAAAAATTGACGCTGTGGAGAGTCATGATCGCACAAGTCGTGAAGGAACACTGCGCATAAAAGGAGACACGTAACTAAAACCGGTTAGTAGGTACGTAAATATATTTATTCGTATAATGTCTAAAAATTTAATGGCTGCTTTGTAGTGAGTTCGATCCTCACTGGGTGCCCTTATTTTTGCCACATCTAAGCTACACTTAGAAAATCGCCATAGTGACACAAGCAAAGATCCTTCCCGTCTAATCTTGCTTTCTTTTTGGTGTGCGGATTTGTCCGACGTGAAACTTTAAACACCCATTCATCTTCTTCATTCGAGATGGGGGGCAATTGCATTAGTCTTCCTCCGCGCGCACCCCCACCGCCACTTCCAATTCACTAAAATTCGTTATCAGTTTCTTACCCCTACTACCGTCTCCGCAGCGTTCAATTTGACTTGAACGTTCACTGCAACCAAATGAAATACAGCGTCTGATAGCCGAACGGGCATTGATTTTGATGCCAGAGATTGTATGCAAGATATATGTAGCGGCTGCCGGAGTTAGGATCTGTTTAACTAAGCTCCCCACATAGTGTATTCGATCATGATTTGTTTGAAATCTATTGTGCTGTAAAGAAACAAACAAATACACGCGCGCGAGCACACACACACACACACACACACACACACACACACACACACACACACACACACAACGCGTCTTGAAATATACCCAACACCAAAGCGTTTACAATAAATCGATAATCAGTCATCGTATTTGATATGCAAAAAGAGTAAATTTTGTCTGAGAAGAACATAATAGTATTAAGACACACACACACACATACACATGCATACACGCACACACATACACATGCATACACACACATATATATACGCATAATGGAAATTGTTTAATTTTAAACCTACGAACCTTTGGGGAAACGGAAATAATGAGAAAATCTTTCTCTTTTCTTTTATACTATTGTTCTTCACTCAATAGTGAAGTCTCAAGAGGCAGTCAAGTTAGAGTGTTACTGAATGAGGTTGTGTTATGAGCTCACTATACGAAGATAAGACGTGCACGTTATGATAGACCAGAGATTTAAAGAGGTTAAGTTCTTGTGATCCGGAAAGTATCATCTCGGGAGGCTGTTCCACAAAACAGCGACTCTTGATAAGAAGCTGTCCGAGTGGAAGTTACCAATAAAATATGAAGGGAATGAGGATGATTCGACCTTGTGTACGCGGCATGGTGATCCATAGCTGTAAGGGTCTGATGAATCTAAAGACTTTACCGCGTCAGAACATATTCCATTGCAATAGACGAGAAAGGCTTGCGAGATTTTTGTCAGCAGGAAAAGAGCAGAGAGCGAATTATTAATCGCCCATAAGGCCGCACT